TTCTGTTTGATGGTGTGGAGCTCCATTTCTAGGGTCCGCACACTCCCAAGGTGACTAAAGAAGTTTAACAGACACATTGTGTAATTTTTGTGTTGTTCATATTTTCAGCTGTGCCACAGAGCTTTGGTCAGGCCTTTCTGTGAATTGCCTGGTAGCATGGGCGCTGCGTGAAATAAATAGGCCCAGCGTACAAAAAAAAAATGAGTAGAGGCTGCCAAGGCCACTCAACACTCGTCACAGTCACATTGCGAGAAGGTGCCACCCGAGAGAGATCAGGCGCCCGTTCATCCCCAGGAGAGCTCTGTCAGGAGAGTTAGGGAGCCTGCTGCCACCCTGCAGCAGCAGGATTTGGGGCAGTGAGCAGCTGGCCCCTAACCTGCCGCCTGGACAAGGCCGTGCTCCCACCTGGTTTTTCTAGAGCTGCCATCCCACCAATCCATTAGGCCCTGCGGTGCTCCTTAAAAATCTAGCACAGTGAGGAGAACCAGCCCTGCTCCAGTCCACGCCTAGCCTTGTGTAAACCCAGGAGTGGGTGTGGTGTCGCCAGGTCACCTGGCAGTTGCTGGGGGTTGGAATGGAACCAAGACGGTGTAAGATGCAAGTCTCTGCATTTCCTGACTGGCTCCCAGCAAGCCTGGTGGGTTTGAGGGTTTTCACTCTGGATCATCTTAAGGAAAATGGGAAAACCAAAACCAAAATATCTGAGGGAACCATGAAAGTTCTTAAATGAAAATCAGTCCCAAGACCTGCGCAGTAAGGACTGTCGTACCCTGGCGCACTGCACCCGGCTGGCAGCCGAGCAGGCCTGCAGTGGTACCTGTGCAGCTCGGCGCCCTGACCCTGCCCGGATGGGCTGTGCGCAGGGGAACTACGGGGCACTGCGTCGGCTCCTCTTACACCGAGCTGCAGCAGGAAGCTCCCGTTGTATTTGCAGAAGCCTTGATGTTCTAGTCCATTCCATTGGTGTTAACAGAAAATACCTGGATCCAGGTAACTGAAGACAATAGAGTTTATTTAGTTCACGGTTTGAAGTTCCAGGGGCCAGTAGCCACATCTGGCTGAGGTGTTCCTGTTGGTGGAGTCCCGAGGCCACTTAGGGCACCACATCAGGAGAGGACAGGAGCTGCATGTCTACCTCCATCCTTGTGTCTGCCCTGGCCTCTTCTCCTTTAAACCCACCAGGGGTCAAAGGAACCCCACTATAATCACCTAATCACTCTCAAAGGACCCCACCTTTCAACACCATGAAGGTACTGGGTTTCCTCTTAATATTGTTGCAATATAGCCAAGTCTAACGTGAATCCTGGGGGGACACTCAAATCACAGCATCTGATACCCGCATTCACCTTGGGAGGAGAATTAGAGCCCAAGGTTTTGAGTCTAGGCCCAGCATCTGATGCCTCAGTGTCCAGTCCACACCAGTAGAGGTGATCAAGTTCTTGGGGGTCAACTGTGAAACTTCCTTTTTAGTTTTTTCCCCCACAGTGGCAGGTAAAAAGTAAGACATTTTTGCCAGAAGATCAAACTACAACTTTAAAAATACACAATTTAAGTTAAAGACAAAATACCAACATCTTGGTGTATTCCTGCCCTGTCAGCCTTTGTAAAGGCTCCTGGGGAGAACTCCAGGCGTAGGTACATGGGACCTTCTGTGTATATGGGAGGAGGAAATGACTGTGCTCGAACCTTTGGTTCACAGCGTTTCCCCAGGCAGCGGGGGCCTTGTGGGCTCAGTATGCTTTCACATTTGCTGATAAGCCTGCCCAGACAATGCCCTTGGCCTCCCTTGTGGGAGGGGAGGCAGAGTGTTATGGGAACCCCATAGAATAATAAGTTGCTTCAAGTGTAGAGTAAATTCAGACAAAAGTGATGGAGCTGGCCAGAAGAGGGGACTGTGAGCGGGAGTGACAGCAGGTGTACTTGCAGGGTGCCTGTCAGGACTCGTCCATGGTGCTGTTCTACGTTTTATTACATAGAGGACATTGGAGTTTGGCTCTTAGTTTAGAAGCCATACAAGCAGATGATCAGAAAAGTAAAAACAGGCCATTGACTCTGATTGTTTTGGTATGTTCCTCCTCCTCCTCCTCCTTCTCCTCTTCTTCTTCTTTTTGGTTCATAGAGACTTTTGATTGAGGGTGCATGTGCTCTACAGAGAGACAGAAAGCAAAAAATCATCCCCCCGGGGGGGGGGTGGCCACGTAGTAATCCCTTCTCCTTTCTCAGCATTTTGGGCACACACACCTGCACTCTTGGTGAGAGTTTTAAGCTGATGGGTCTGGCGCTTGAACCGCAATCGACTTATGTGGGAGTCCAGTGACATAACCATTATGCCACCTGCTGGTCTTGGTATGTTCTTTCAACAAGTAGATTTAGATAAAAACAGAATTTTCTTATACATGGAGTCTTCAAAATGTTTATGGAAAATGCACATTATGAAAAAAACTGCAATGTATTTCAAAGTATTTTTGCACCAAAATAAACTCTTATTTTAATTCCGTTTTTCCACCAACTTTTTAAAGTGCCCTCATGTTTTGGGAGTATTGCCATCTTAATAACATTAAGTCTTTGAATCCATTAACATGGGATGTCTTTTAATTTGTTTAAGTCTTTTTTAAAATATCAGTGATTTTTAAATTTTCAGTCTATAAATCTTAACCCTGTGCTTGTTCATTTTATTTTTGGAATTTTCATTGCTACTGTATTAAAAGGCAATGGATTTTTATATTCATATAATTATTTATGAATAATTAATTAATGACAAATAATTACTGTAATTTGCTTTTGTATTACTCTTGCACCCTCTAGCTACCTTCCTGAACTCATTTATTAGATCTGTGATGGTTTGGTGATTTCTCCTGGCCTTTCATGGCCTTGACAGATTTGATGAACATGAGTCAGGCATGTTACAGAACATCCCTCTATTTGGGTTTGTCTGAGGTTTCTTTGTGGGTAGACTGGGTTATGGGTTTTGGGGAGGAGCACACAGGAAAAGTACCCTTTACATCGCAGCACAGGGGATCCCTATCCTCCATGGCCAGGTTTGTCAACTGTACACAAGTCACTGTGGCTTCCTCTCATACTCCATGTGCTCTAGCTCTTGTGGGGGTGGGGAATTAAGCTCCACCTCCCAGAATGAAGAAGAAGTTGGGCCATTTGTTAAAACTACCACTGCAGTGGACCAGCAGTTGTCATAATGGCTATGTTACTGGACTCCCATGTAGTTGACCGCAGTTCGAATCCCAGACCTGGTGGCTTAAACTCACACCACACGTGTGTGCGTGTGTGCCCAAGATCCCGAGAGGAAATTGGAGGAGAAGGGATTATGGTGTGGCCATACCCCCAGGGGGTGATTTCTCACCTTCTATCTCTCTATCTCTGTCTTTCTGGTGAGCGCATGCGCCTTATTACAAAAACCTCTCCAAAAAAAAAAAAAAAAAAACCCAAAAAACAAAAAAACTACCATTGCACGGGTCAGCAGGTGGTGTGGTGGGTGGTTAAGGAGCTAGACTCCCACAGGGCTGACCATGGTTTGAATCCCAGACCTGGCAGCTTACTTACTTTCTCTCTCCCTCTCTCTCGCATGTGTACCCTATAGCAAATTAAAAAATAATCATAATAATAAATAAGATTAAATAAATAGTTAAAAAAGAAGCTACCACGACAATTGAGAAATATTTGGAGGTTGTGTAGCTATCCTGTCAGTCCTCAAAGTAGTGTCCCCAGTACATGCAGCAATGGCTCCGGCCTCCGTCAGTTATTCCTGTGGAGTTCCCATGGTGGTTTTCTGTTCCTCTTGTTCCTTCTACATTTATAACCTGCAATTACTCTGTAAGGGAGATTTGTCTCTTCCTCATTAATTTTCTCCAGGCCTTTTTAAAAAAAGTTAGTTTCTTTCTTTCTTTTAATAATTATTTTATTTTATTTATTTATTATTAATTTGCTATGGGGCACATGTACTTCCCAGAAAGAGATAGAGAGAAGCTGCCAGGTCCGGAACTCAAACCATGGTCAGCCGTATGGGAGTCCACCACCTTAACCACCGTGCTACCTGACAGCTCCTATTTTTTTTTTTTTTTATTTCTTCCATTGTGGGGATGGAGGGAGGCACCACATACTGGGATCCATCCCTGCCTTGCCAGCCTGGATTGCATGCACAGGGAGACCCTGGAACAAAAACCTGGGACCCTCCCTGTGGGTCCAGATCCCCAGACCTGGCTTTGACAGCATAGCAGGTGGCTGCGTGGAGCCATGTGGAAGAGCAGGGACTCTGAGCTATGGCCACTTTTAGTCCCATGGCCCCTGCGGGTGGTTGCGAGAAGTCCATGGCAGAGTACGTGGGTGTTCTTAGTACTCTGCCGGTGCCCAGTAGGCACTGAATGTGCTGGCGTCCTGGTTATGGCACCTCACTTACACAGAGCTGCAAAGCTGGACCCAAAGCCTGCCCACAGGCACAGGCAAACCCAGACTCTGCCTCATGGAAACAGGCCATGTGTTTATCCGTCCGCCATCCCTTGCTGTCTGATGTTCACGAGTACCTAATGTGTGCCTGCAGCTGTGCTCATTAGGGCTTCACCTGCAGTCCTGAAAGTGTTCCCTACCTCGTAGGGCTGTTTCATTCCTTGTTAGAGATGCCCAAGGGCACACAACTGGTACGAGGCCAAGTCAGGCCTGCATCTGCTCAATTCCGGGGCCTCGTCCTACCCACAAAACCGCCTGGCTCTGCGCAGCCAGGGAGATTAATTTACAGTCACACTGCGGAAGGGACTGCTTGCTGCAGGATGCGGCCCAGACCAGCTCACTGGGCCACCCTTGGGCAGCTCAGGCTGGTGGAGCCTCGCTGAAGTGAGCAAGCCCGTTTTTGCATGAGTGGTTTCAAGTGTGGGGCTGACCTGAGTGTGAGTCCTAAGTGGGTGCTTGGTGGCTCCATAAGATTGGCCGCCCATGGCCTTCCTAATGCGTGGAATGGAATGGGAACCTAAGGCTGTCTTTTGCTTCCTTAGCGCATTTACTACCTGTCACTGGAGTTCTACATGGGCCGAACGCTGCAGAACACCATGGTGAACCTGGGCCTGCAGAACGCCTGCGATGAAGCTATTTACCAGGTAGGACCTGTGGCCAGCGTCCGGTGGCCTCTCATGTGCATGAGGCCTCAGTGTGTTTTCCCCCAGAGGAGAGCCTGACCTTTTCAGCTGTCTGGGAGTGGGAGTGCCTGGTGGGGTGCTCCTCCTCTCTCTCAAAGGGAGAAAGAGAGAATTGATGGGAAGGTGATTCAGGGTGTGCGAGGACTGGGTTGAACTGGGATGCAAGATTTGGAGGTTTCTAGACTCCATTGCACTCTGCAGCCCAAAGCAGATTTATAACATAGTGGAAGTGGCTAGTACTTTTCCATTACTATCTCTCTCTCTTTTTAAAAAAAAGTTTATTCATCTATTCTTTCCATGAGAGAAAAGAGAAACAGACAGACATAAGCACCCACAGCAGAGTCCTCGTGTTATAACCATCCCAGCCTCGGCTCTGGATCACTGGCCCTGGGACTTCAGGGACCAGGGTGGACCATGGTGTGGGTCCAGTTGCATTTCGGTCATGCCACCCACTAGGCCCCCATTTCTTTTTTCTTTTTTAATTAATTATTTTTTATTTAATTTTATTTATTATTTTTAAATTTGTTATAGGACATGTGTGCTCACGCGAGAGAGACAGTGAGAAAGCAGCCACCAGGTTTGGGCTCAAACCGCAGTTGGTCATATGGGAGTCCAGTGCTCCCACCATGCCACTTGCTGCCCCCCTATTTCTGTTTTATTAAACTGGTAACTCTCTTCTGGTTTCCCTCCCACCCCTAATAAAACTTCCTGAGCTTACCCTACCCTCCGGTTATAAAACGGCCCTTCGGGGACCAGCAGTTAGCGTAATGGCTATGTCGCTGAACTCCCACATAGTCGACCACGGTTCGAGTCCCAGACCCAGTGGCTTAAACTCACGCTGGGCACGTGTGCGTGCGTGCCCAAGATCCCAGGAGGAGACTGGAGGAGAAGGGATTGCAGTGTGGCCATCCCCCCTGGGGGGTGATTTCTCGCTTTCTGTCTCTCTGTCTCTCTCTGTCTGTCTGGCAAGTGCACGCGCCCTATAGCAAAAACCTCTCAAAAAAAAAGAAGAAAAAAAAAAACGGTCCTTTCTCCCCTAATCAGAGTAGAAATTGGCTTTCCGTAGGGGTTCTTCATTGACAGTGGCTCACTCTGAGCTTGCCCTTCATGGTCCGTTTGGCCTCTGAGAACTGAACTATGATTGGCTGTCGCTGCCTTCTAATGAACTGTGATTGGTTGCCGCTGCCTTCTAGTTCCTCTGTCCTCTTCCCCTTCCTCCCCCCCCAGTGAATCTCCAGTGCCGAATTTCCGGACTGTAAACCTGTAAGCTCTTCCCGTTTTGCACATGTATGAAAGATTCTTACCCAAGCCGTCCTTCCTCCCTGCACCCTGCCTCCTCCCTTGTCTCTGCTGGGTTTAGGTGGAGGAGCTCCAGGGTGTCCTTGGGGGTGTAAATTGAGGCTGTGAGATGTCTCAACACTGTTGGGGGCTCTTGTCCCCTTTAGGACTTAGTGAAAAGGGGCATCTGGGGCGCATAATCTCAGTTGGCACAGTAGAATGGAACCCACATTTTACTCACCACAGTAGGAATCTTAGCTTAAAGTTATCTAACAAGATCTTGGCTGCCCTGGCAGGTGACTTGTCTGTGTTCTGCTTGCCGATTATTAATGTCAGTCGTGTCCGTGAGGAACAGCACAGAGCACAGCATGTCTTAGCCATATCCTTTGTGAATTTTGCGGTTGTGTGCAGTGTTAGTTTTTGAGATATTTTGAAACATTTTCCTTTGTACAGTTCTTACATACAGTACAAGTTTTAGGAAATGTTTATCTATTTATAATTTTTATTACACAAATAACATTTATAAAAACTTACAAAATACAGGTACATACATACCCTTTCTTTTTCGCAAATTTCTTCCATGAGAGAGAGTGTGTGTGCCCCTCCTCATGCCATGACCTCCCAGTCTCAGCCAGCCAGGATCACAGGGACAAGTGAGCACATGCAGTGTGTACAGGAAGCCCTCAGGGTGCAAGCCTGTGACATCCCCTGTGGCTTCAGCATGGCAAAGCATTGCTTTATGGAGTGAGTGCCAGGCAGCTGGCCACATGTATCCTTTTAAAGTGTACATTTTTTGGGCCAGCAGGTGGTATGGTGGTTAAGGCATTGGAATCCCACATGGCCTACCACAGTTCGAGTCCTGGACCTGGCATCTTGCTTTCTCACTTTCTCTCTCTCTCACTAGTGAGCACATGTGCCTCATAACATTAAAAATAATAATAGTAATAGTAATAATAAAATTAAATAATTCTTGAAAAACCTATCACTAAAAAAAATATATACATTCTTTAAAGTGATACTTTACTTGCAGTTTCAATTTTAAAATAAATTTTTAAGAGAGCTGGCTCAGTAGCACAGCAGTTAAGCAATGTGCATAGAAAGCTAGATCCACATGGCTGACCTAGTTCAAATCCCAGCCCTGGTGTCTTGAGAAATATGCCAAGAAGGTCAGCAGGTGCCCTAAAGTTATACCCCCATTGTTCTGCAATTGTCACCACTCTTCACCCCAGAACATTGTTGCTTTCCCAGTCTGAAACTCTGTGCACATCAGTGTTTCCCCATTCTCTTCTTCCCCCAGCTCCTGGCAGCTTGAAACGTGCCTGATGTGTGTATATGCATGCCCAAAATTTTGACAGGAAATGAAGGAAGAAGGATTGCAACATGCCCATGCCTCATTAGGGAGTGCTTTCTCCATCTCTGGCTAGCACTCATGCCTTCTGGCCAAAAAAGAAAAGCCAGCCATAAAAGGCCACATACTGTGTATTTCCATTTTTGTGAGCTGCCCAGAACTGGCAGATGCACCAAGACAGAAAGTAGGGATGATTAGCAGAGGCCGGGGATGGGGCAGTTGCTAATAGGTGGGGCTTTGTTTGATTGTGTAACAGCTCGTTCTAAGGATTGGATGGCTCCGTGGACATGTACCTTACAGGGTGAGTGTTGGGGCCAGCAGGTGGCATGGTGGATAAAGTGCTAGACTTCCACGTGGCTAACTGCAGCTCAAGTCCCAGATCTGGCAGCTTGAACATCACACTGGGTGCATGTGCGTGCGTGCCCTAAACCCCAGGAGAAGAACAGAGGCGAAGGAGCTGTGGCGTGAACATCCCCACTGCGGGTGATTTCTCACTTTCCCTCTCACTGTCTCCATGCCTCAGCAAGTGCCCACATACCCTATGGCAAAATCCTCATAAAAAAAAAAATAGCAAATTTTCTGGTATGCGGTTTATATTTCAATAGAGAAACGAGCTTGTTTACACTCATTTTCTGGCTTCAGCCTGGAAGCCCACTGTAGGCCTGCCAATTAGCTCCTTCTTGTGTTGTTTAAAATGCTCTCAGAATCAAGGTGATGTTTGCCCTACTGGGGTGAGTGCCTACCACATTCAACCTAAAGGTTCCTGGCCTGCCCAGATTGCTGGGCAGTGTGGTGCTTGCTTGTAATCACTGCTGCTTGGGAAGCTGAGGCAGACGAGTCACAGCACAGTCCTGAGACCCTGCCCCCCCAGAGACCTGCAGGAACAAAACGTCTTTCCCCACGTCGACCCTAGCCGGCCTTTTGTGGGTCTGTCTCTGAATCCAGTCACTTTTTCCTGAGTAAGTCATGCTGTGGTCAGACACATTTGAAACACAAGGTAGCTAAACATGTTTTTTTTTTTTTTTTCAGAGGTTTTTTGTTTGTTTGTTTGCTTTTGCTACAGGTCGTGTGTAGTCACCAGAGACACAGAGGGAGACAGAGACAGAAAGAGAAATCAGCCTCCACAGGAATGGCCATGCCACAGCCTCTTGTCCTCCATTCTCTTCTAAGGATTTTGGGCACATGTGAGTTTCAAGCCACCAGGTCTGGGACTTGAACCATGATTAACCATGTCCAGCACCCCAACCACTCTGCCACCTGCTAGCCCCCATATTTCCTACCTTTGAACTGATGATTTATTACTGGATCAGGCCTACCTCCCTGACACACCCCAAATATTTTTGGTGGAACATACTCTTTGAAAGAGCTTGGGAATTAAGTTTAAATCATCATATTTTGAAATTTTACTTTGAATTAGATTCCTGTACATGTTATACAATTTTGTCTCCTTCGCATGTGCTGTGTATTTATGACCCAAGTGTTTTTTCTTCACAACTTCTGTCTCACTCCTCATAATTTATCTGGTTCTCTACGTTGGTGCAGACTCCCAGGTCCACGAGGTCTTCCAGGGGGTCTGTTAGATCAGAACTGTTTTCATAACCCTGAGGTGCTACTTGCCTTTTCTTTTTCTTTCTTTGTTTTTAATTTGCTAGAGGGCGGGCTTACTTGCTGGCATGAGACAAAGACAGAGCGGGAAAGTGAGGAAGCACCTCCCATGGGCAGTGGTCATGCTGTGATCCCTTTTCCTCCGTGTCTCCTGGGGCTTGGGGAATGCATGCACACTCACCTGGCATCTTTTTTAAGTCATTGGGTCCAGGACTTGAACCACATAGTTGGCCATGTTGGATCTAGCTGCCTTAACCACCAGGCCACAGGCTGGCCTGGCTATGTGCCCTTTTTTTTGTTTGTTTGTTTTTTGTTTTTTGTTTTGAGAGAGAGAGTTTTGTTATAGAGTGCTTGCTCTTGCTGGAGAGAAAGGAAGCAAAAAATCACCCCTTGGAGGGATGGCCACATTGCAATCTTTTTTCTTCTATTCTCCTCTCAGTATCTTGGGCACGCACACACACATTCAGCATGAGTTTCAAGCTGCCAGGCCTGGAACTTGAACCGTGGTCGGCCATGCAGCACTCCAGCGCTTTAACCACCATGCCACTGGCTGGTCCTGGTATGTGTCTTTTTTAGTAGTCTCTCCTGAGTATACAGTGAAGTTTTCCAGATTACATGATAGGTAATCACAACTGATTGAATGCTGAAGTAGAAAAACCAATAAAGAGATTTATAAAAACACTGCCTCTCTTCTCAGTAATTTTTTTGTTTTGTTTTCAAGAATTTAGTTATTGTGCATTAAACTTTGTTATTCATGTTAACATGTAGTGAGTTTATTTTTAAATTAATTCATATATGTACTTAAAATTTGATTTTAGACTTTCATTTCTAATTTGATAATTTTTTTTTTCTTTTTTTGGAGAGATTTTTGCTATAGGGCGTGTGCGCTCGCCAGAAAGACAGAGAGAGACAGAGAGACAGAAAGGGAGAAATCTACCCCCCGGGGGATGGCCACGCCGGGCAATCCCTTCTCCATTCTCCTCTCGGGATCTTGGGAACACATGCACACGTGCCCGGTGTGAGTTTAAGCCACTGGGTCCAGGACTCGAACCACAGTCGACTACATGGGAGTCCAGCGTCATAGCCATTATGCTAACTGCTGGTCCCTAACTCGATACATTTTGATAGACTTCACATGAACAAAAGCTCTTTGCATCCTCCTGAGACCAAAATGTTTGAAATCCACCCATCTAGAAACACAACAACAGTTTGTCAAGTTCATACCCCACAGCTCCATTAATGGAATGCTTATCCATGTTCCACAGTTGAGAACCTTAATATCTTCATTCTGGTATTGTGATGAGTCAGTTTAAGTAGTTGTGACTTTGTTGCTTTTGCTCTAATTTTTAAATGCTGTATCTAGTCCCCAAGACTGGATAGAACTTGAATAACCACAGGAATGGTGCTGTTAGGTGTGGGTTTAAGATTTCACGGACCAGATGGTTTCACAGCTGTAACCTAACTCTGCATTGCTGGGTCCACCTGGGACGTTTAAAAAGCCACTGGGGCCAGGAATTTGAACCACATGCATCTGAGCCATGTGGGTGTGGCTCCTTTAACCATCAAGCCATCAGGCTGGCCCTGGGCTTACATCCTGAAGCCTCCCTATGTGTACTGGGCACACACACGTGTACAAGCTGGATGACACTCAGTGGATATTGCGGCATAAAGGACCTGGTTAGAGTGCCTGTCTCTCCTTTTCTTATAGAAGAGATAAACTTGGAAAGAAAAACATGGCTGGCCCCATAGCTTACTGGTTAAGCCCCATGCATAGGGAGCTGGATCCCACAGGGCTGGCCATGGTTTGAATCCTGGTTATGGCGGCTTGAAAAACATGTTGGATACCTGTGCATGGTGTCCAAAATCCTGATGAAAACATGGAGCAAAAAGGATTGCTGAGTGATCACATCCCTATGGGGACTGCTTTTTCTTCTCTGTATCTCTGGTGAGTCCCCATGTTCTTTGTCAGTTAAAAAAAAAAAAAAAGAAGTATTAGTATTCCATGTGAAATGAGAGAATTATTAAAATCACTAGTTTCATTTCTGGGTGTGGTGGCGCCCACCCTATGGCAAAAACCTATGGAGGCTGGAGGATTGTGGCCTTGAGGCCCTCTCTCTCTCTCTCAGTCTCTCTCAACGCGCACGATTTGGAAAAAAAAATTACTAGTTTCATTTCTAGGATACACAGTATAATCTGCTCTCTATAAATAGGCTAATAGCCTGTTAATAATCTTTGGCTTTTTTTTTTTTTTTTTTTTTTTAAGTTTGTCGCAGGGCGTGCTTACCTGAGAAAACCAGAGAAAGAGTGGGAGAGAAAGAAAAGAAATAAAGCAACCCCAGGGAGATGACCACACTGCAGTCCCTTCTCTTCCATTCTCCACTTGGGATTTTAGGCACGTACGCACACATGTCCAGAGTATTTTTCAAGCTACTAGGTCCAGAACTTGAACTATTCAGTCAGCCATGTGGGATCCAGCTGCCTTAACCACCATGACACCTACGGGCCCAACCTTGTCTAATTTTGAATAACTCTTTTTTTTTTTTAAGTTTATTCATTTATTTCTTTCCTGAGCATAAGAGAAAGAGAGACGGAGAGACAACATCCCACAGGGTCTTGGTGCTGCTATCTTCCCCAGGCCTCACCCAGTCTGGAGCAGGGGCACACGTGTGTCTGGTGTACTCGGGGAGTTTCAGTGGGGAACACTGGAACACTCCCGGAACCTTCCCACAGAGCGTCATACTCTCGCTGAACCAGTGTCCACCTCCTCGTAGTAGTTTTTAAAATTCATGGGCACTTCTATTTCTGCATTGACTTTGCACCAAACTAACAGCAGATTCTCCAGCCTGAGAGAAAGCAGGCTCTAACTTTTGCTATAAACTCGCAGGATTTAAATATCTGTCATTCGAGGCGAAGGATTAAGTGGTGTTGAAACGTTGCCTCTGTCTGTTTGCAGCTGGGGTTGGACATGGAAGAACTGGAGGAGATAGAAGAGGATGCTGGCCTTGGGAACGGCGGCCTGGGGCGGCTGGCAGGTACTCGTGCTGGCCGGGACAGGTGCTCGATCTGGGCTGGGTGGCAGCCTCGTGGCAAGGCCAAAGGCAGCAAGCTCCTGACCTGATGGGTTGGGCGAATCGGCCTCCCTCGGAGTCGATCTCCAAGTGTGTTTCTCGGGTTGAAACCTTGTCACAGTGGGGAAAAGCGGAAAGTACGTGTCCACCTTCAGACGGGTGGCATTTCACAGTTACAGCGGAGACCAAGCTTGCTGATGGTGGGCGAGCTGGTGCTGGGAGGGGCTCCTGACACGCCAGCCAATTTCCAGGACTCAAAAGCCCATGAAGGGGAGAAATATATGGACAAAACCCGGTTGGTGAAGGCGGCCTGCTTACCCCACACTGCACTTGCAGCACGCACCAGGTTGCCCTGAGACTACAGCCGTTCTTTCAGGGTCAGGCTCTGTGGCCACCGCAACGGAGTGCATGCCTAGTTTTGCAGTAGACATTGTCTGTTTCAGTTGTTTTTGCCAGCCTTCTGGGTGGAGGGAGCCAGGTTATGAACACAGAAGGAGAAATAGTTGGCCATGGTTTGAGATTTTTTTTTTTTAAAGTTTTTGCTATAGAACACGTGCGCTCGCCAGGCAGACAGAGAGAGACAGAGAGACAGAAAGCGAGAAACCACCCCCTAGGGGGAATGGCCACACCCCCATCCCTTCTCCTCTGTTCTCCTCTCGGGATCTTGGGTACGCACGCACACGCGCCCGGTGTGAGTTTTAAGCCACCGGGTCCGGGGCGCAAACCGCGGTCAGCTACATGGGAGTCCAGCGACATAGCCATTACGCTAACTGCTGGTCCCTCCATGATTTGAGATTTGATTCACTGTGTGTGTCAAGGCTCTTAGGGACTGTTTCTGGAGCAGAGATATGTCACATGAACACGTTTTGGTTTTGCGTCATGCATGTGGGACCAGGTGCAGGTGGCCTGGTCCCAAGCCACTTCGTGTCATGGACCCTTTTTGGAAGTGCTATTTTGTAAAGGGAGTACCTGTCCTAAAATGTATCTGTGTATGTGTGAGCCCGCCGTAGCTGCGGACTATCACTGTCCTGCCAGGATGAGTCCAGAACCAGGGCCAGACTGTACGCCATGGCTCATCCTCAGCAGAGTGCCTGACCCTCAGGCAGCTACACCGTGATGGATTAGGCATTTGTGGGATTTGCTTGTGTTCTGTGTGGGTTTGTGTTCCTTTTGTTCCCTTTTTAATGCAGAAGTTTAGTAAGTTTGACTTCTGAGTCTTTATTCAAAACATTGTTTTGTCTTGTCTTTCAAGAAGTTTTGATGAGAACAGGGTCGCTCTGATGACACGGTGCTTCGGCCGCTGTCTGAGGGCCTACAGCACCTTGGCACTTGGGGCTTTGGGTATCGTACACAGTCCCCACTCCTGGGCCTGCTTCACTGACGTGCAGGGAGAGGTTTTGTGACGTACCCTAGCATCAACACCACTGGATTTAAAATAGAATGTGTAGAGGGGTAGGGCAGCTTCAAGCCTCAGTTAAGAGTTTGCAGTGAGGGACTTCAGATGTGAGGAGGCACCAGACCTCGCGTGTCTTCTGTGGGGTTCTTCCCTTCCCCCTACATCCCTCCACACCCTCTGACTGACACACACAGATGCCTTCTGGGGGCTGGGAGCCCCAGGCTCTCCAAGGGAAGGGACCCAGTTGTCTGTTTCAGGAAGCTAGAGGCTGCCTCGTCCCCGTCGACTCCGTTAGATGCCCTGTGGGCCTCATCCCAGCGGGCCTTGGGTCTCCTAGCTGTCCCTGACTTATGATTGCTTTTCCCAGCCTGTTTTCTTGACTCGATGGCCACCCTGGGCCTGGCCGCATACGGCTACGGAATCCGCTACGAATTTGGGATTTTCAACCAGAAGATCGTCAACGGCTGGCAGGTGGGTGAGATGGGATTCTTCCCTGGTTTCCAGCTCTCGTCCACACGAGAAAATGAACAGCAGTGCTCCCAGTTTAACTTCTCGGGGAAGTCTGGCCATAGTGCCCTGGGTGGGTGCATGTGGAAGCCGTGGGAAGCCGTGTCACCTTTCCGAACACTCAACCGAGTACTCGCTCTAGTGA